TATAACTGACGTGCGGCAGTTTGGTCGCGGTGGGATAGTATGCAGAACGCCAGACCAGGAATGTTTAAGAGACCTCCTCAAATGTTCGTCCTTCGCATCAATTCCGGTGAGTGTGTTTGTTCCACCTCATCTGGCTTGCGCAAAAGGAATCGTACGAGGTGTACACGTGCAGCTCAGTCTTGCTGTAACTCTAGAAAACCTCTCTGTGGTCGGTGTTGTGGCAGTTTATTGATGCATTTGAGTTGTGGACAACGAGCGCGTCCCAACAGAGTCCGTGATTACGACTTGTGCCGGCACCTCATGTCCTTCTGAGAATAAAGCGTGGCCTCTGGTGTTTCGAGTAGATCAATTGGCATCTCGTCCGTTACAATGCCGGAGCTGCTAGAGGTTTGGTCATAGTTCCGGTGGCTGTAAATCAGAGGGACGATGCAGCAAATGTGGTGTAGTCCACAAAATGGAGAATCTACGGCACAAGACGACATGTGTTGCTTGTGTGGTGGACAACATGCTGCTGACTACTCAGATTGTCTGATTAGGTAATAAGAAATGCAAGTTCCTGAGGTCATTGATAAAAGGAGATGCTCTAGAAGGAAAGCAATTGCAATTATTAAGGAAAGAAAGTATGGTTATGCTGGCGTTATTGCACGTGAAACGTTCACGGGGACGAGCATTGCACAAGTTGTCGAGGTACCTGTTGGAAAAACTATGGCTAGAGTGATGGATCAACTTGTTGTCGGCATCTCCAAATGTATTGCTCAACTCGTAAGCAATCAAATTGCTAAGCTTATAACCCCCCAACCAGGCGGTCCCCTCGAGTCAATACACTCTACCGCAAATCCGATGGGTGATAAGGTGCACGCCTCTGATAGCTGTAATGACTCCGATCCATGCTCATTGGCTAGTGGTGACGAAACCGTGCTGGACTTTGACGTATCTACTGATGTAGAAATTGATGCCCATGCTCAAAAACGTATAGCCGATCCCCGCTGAACCATACAAGCCCTACGTCTTCACAGGCGACATTAAAAAGAAATCCGGCCAGCAAAATTTTGAAAGAGAATATTTTGGAGAAAGTTGTCTTCACAATGATTACTTCAACAAAATAACATCTTTAAAAGTTTTACAGTGGAATCGTCGTTAGATATTTGCTGCAATTACTGATCTACACTGTCTCAGTTCTCAGCTAAATTCTGATTTACTTTTGTTGCAAGAAATTCGGCTCAATCCAGACAATAGCTTTTATGCCAATAATTACCGTTCGTTTAGGCTAGACCACCCTTCGAGAGGTGGTGGAATAATGACATTATTATCAGTCTTTGCCATAAAGCGAAGGTAACATTGAACCTGCTGTCCCTGGAATTAAGTTTGAAATTTTAGCTATAAAGATAACCCGGCCTTCTCGTCAGACATTTACAATAGCCAATGTTTATTTTCCGGCAGGCGTGCATAATACCAGGCCATTGGACACCCTAATAGGCACGTGTGGAAGAAATATTTTATTGGCAGAAGATTTTGACGCTCATCATGTCACATGGGGTGCAAAAACTGATGCGTGCGTTAACCATTTGTGAGAATGGTCCCAAGATAACAACCTCACTTGTTTAAATTATGGAAGCCCAACGCACTTGAGGGGTAACACATCTTCTTCATTGGATCGTACTTTTGCAAACTTGTGCCTTAACGTTTCGGGTCGGTCTGTAGCTAACTGAGCAACTAACAGCGATCAATACCGATCACTTATGAAGTAAGAAGTCCGGTAGTATCCGGAGCATACAATGTGCGCACGTTTACAAATTATACTAAATTTAAGGATTGTTTGCTTTCGTCACTTACTTCTATATCAGATACAAGCACGAAGTCAAAAGTAATGAACATTGAAACAGTCATTTATTTATTTATTTATTTATTTATTTATTTATTTATTTATTTATTTATTTATTTATTTATTTATTTATTTATTTACATTTCACCTATATCGCCGTGAGGCATTACGTAGGGGAGGTACACATAATAATTTAACTACATAGTTTTCAATCAAAACAATAGATTCAACAAATAAAACAGCACTCAATATATTTTAAGAGAAAAAAAACACTCGAATATTGGTGAGTGAAAACAACGTCACAGTCATGCATTTGAAAACACGCACACGCTTCAAGACAGCAAACCATTCTTAGTGGCAGTGATATTGTAGGAGTTGTTACAATGAAGAAAAAAAGGATTCATTATCAGTTTCATTGACGAGATCAACCGGTAGACGGTTTCATTCTTGTATTGTTTTTACGAAAAAAGAACTACCGAAAGAGTGGGTTCTGTGACGGTATTCTAATATTTTTCGTGAATGGTCCTGACGATTAGAGGCGTACGTTGGTGTGAACAGATAATCAAGAGGGTTAATGGCATTTCCATTTTAATATATACAATGAAGAAATTCAAGCCTGAGTTCCTGCCTCCTTACCATCAGTTTCTCCCATTTCAATGCTCGTTTCATTTCTGTGATGCTTGCAAAGGAATTATAGTCGTTGCTAACAAATCTGGCTGCTTAGTTTTGAACTTTTTCCAATGCGTCAATCAAGTATTGCTGATGGGGATCCGAGATTACGCAAGCATACTCTAAAATAGGTCTTACATACATGAGATAAAGGGTTTGTTTCACGGTCTGTGAAGCTTGCCTAAAATTTCTGCGTATAAAGTATAGCAACCGACCTGCCTTGGTCACAGTTATGTCAATGTGTTTATTCCACTTGAAATTGTCGGAAAAATAGACCCCTGGTACTTATAATAGGATTCATTGCTAATTATTGAATTATTTATTTCGTATGTTTTGTCTAGTTTACTAATCCGGTTGGTGAATGATACTCAGCAACATTTACGGACGTTTCGACTCATTTTCCATTTTTGGCACCACGTTGATATTCGGTACAGATCGTGCTGCAGAATTTGAGCATCCTTGCGCGATTTAATCACTCTAAACACTACACAATCATCTGCGAATAACTTAATGTGATAGGTAATACCATCGTCTATGCTATTAATATAAATCAGGAAAAGCAAAGGTCCTAATACGCTTCCCTGTGGTACACCGGGCGTAACGGTTACCGCAGATGATTTTGATCCGTTAAGCACTACGTTCTGCTGTCGATCGTTTAGATAGTTCTTTACCCAATTGATAACTTCAAGGTTTATGTTTGCAGAGAGCATTGCAAATTCTAACAGATTGTGTGGGACGGTGTCGAAGGCTTTCTGGAAGTCAAGGAACACTGCATCTACTTGAGCGCCACTGTCTTTAGATTGTGCGATGTAATGCTGGAATTCGACTAGTTGAGTTACGCATGAGCGTCTATTTCTGAAAACATGCTGAGATGGAGTGAGGAAGTTGATTGACTCTAGGTGTTTAACTGTTTCGCTGTATATGATGTGCTCAAATAACTTACAGCAAATTGCTGTTAGCGAGATGGGTCTGTAGTTTTCGACAAGCTTTTTATCACCTGATTCATGAACCGGGATAACGTTTGCAACTTTCCAGTCATGTGGGACAACTCCAGTATTTAGTGTAATTTCATATTTAACGCATAAATATTTTGCAATAACGCTGTGACAGTTTTTAAGAACAAATGGTGATAAACCATTTGGTCCAACTGCTTTAGTTGTATCTATCTGCCGTAACAAGCAATCAACACCAGTAATGTCAACCTCCACGTCTTTCATGGAAGTCCACGTGACTGGAAGCGCCCCCACTTCGCCAGGTGTGCTTTGAGTAAAACCTGATTGGAAACAGTTGTTAAAAGCTCAGCTTTTTCTTCATTGGTGCACAAAGTATCACCCTCCACGGTCAGAGCAGGAATGCTTATATCGTCTTTTCTAGTTTGTTTAACATACTTCCAGAACTCTTTTGGGTTTTGCTTTAACCTATCGCTTAATTGGGCAAAAAAAGTATCCTTCCTTGTTTTTATTGCTGATTTCAGTGTCAGGTTTGCATGCCTTAGCTCTTGTTCATTAGACGTGGTACTCCTATAGCGAAATTTTCTGTACGAACTTCGTGCTTTCCTAATTAACCTGCGAATGTCTTTATTAAACCAAGGCTTTTGTTTTGTTCTCTTCTTTAGAATTCTGTTTGGTACATGAGCTTCAACTGCGTGAAGTAGCTTATTACGAAAATAAGACCACAGAGCTAAACAGCAACGATTTTCTGCCAAAAGCAAGAATGTTGGGTAATACGACTCTAATTCTGCAGAAACAGAATCATAGTCACCTTGCTCATACAGGAAAATTTTTCGGGGTATTGCCTGTGCTACTTGGCAGTATTCTATCTTTAAATCTGCCACAATGGCCTTATGGTCACTTATACCAGGAATCACCGACACAGTGGAAACAATATTTGGGTCATTACATAATACTAAATCCAGAATGGCATCATGTCTCGTTGGAACATTCACATATTGACAAAAACCAAACACTCTCAAGAATTCGCCGAACAAAGTATACACTGACGACCTGTTTTGTGTACCACTGGTTATCCAGTCAAAATCTGGTAGATTGAAATCTCCACTCAGGAGTACACTGTCTGGAATTAACTGTATCATTTCAGAAAGCAATGTCATAGGAGTATCACCACTGTCTGGTGGTCGATAAAAACAACCAAACACGACAGTATGTCCCTTCGGTAAAAAAACACGGCACCAAACTGCCTCGGCAGAATTGTGGAAAGTAACTTCCTCGCTAGTCCACTCGCTCGCTACAAGAATAAATACGCCCCCACCATGGCGATTTCTATCTTTCCTATATACAGTAAAGCCATGTGGGAAGACCTCAGTATCAGGTATCGCACTGTCCAACCAATATTCTGTACCCATAATTATTGTTGCTTGAGTAGTTACCACAAGGGACGCAAAGACGTCAACTTTATTATTAATACTTCGATAGTTCACAAGAAGCAGCGGTATGCGCCCGCACGTGTTTGAAGTATCGATTCTCCCAGTTCTGCGACGACTGACGTCACGTCAGTCGGCTTCTTGTGATCGCGCATGTGCATGCAGTGGGACAGGTTGGTTCATTTCACTGTCCCACACGAACGTCTTTCCGTTGATAACAAGCTTATCATAGTTAAGGCGCTCTCGGCATCCTTTGCTATCTCTCTTTTCCCTGGCATAGTTCCAAAGAAACCGTCGTTTTTCGCGAAAAGCATGACTGAAGTCTTCGGATACACTAAAAGAGGTGTTCTTAAATTTGTAAGCATTACGCATAACACTTTCCCTGGCTTTCCACCCTGAGAAGGTTGTGACGATAGGCCTAATGCGCCCCTCTGTGAAGGCCCCCAGCCGGTGAGCTCTTTCTATCGGAATGTTACTAAGCTTGAGCACGTTACTGCAAATCTCTTCAACCAGACTCTCAGATGTTTCCCATGTTTCTTTGCGCTCAATGTCTGGCACACCAAAGAAAACTAAGTTTAACCGGCATCTCCTGTTTTCGAGATTGTCAAGCTTAGCCTTTATCTTTCGTTTGGATATTTCAACAATCTTAATGCGCTCCTCGATTACATTTGATTTTGCTATCACGCTGTCTATTTTCTGTTCCAGGTCGGCTTGCTTCGCCACTATTTCTGCAAGTTTAGTAAGCATGGTTTTCTGACTACTTTGTACATCCAAAAGGATCTTCTCAATGTTCGCCATCTGCTCTTCTTCGGTTGAGTTCATAGGGCCTGGGTTTAGCTCTACATCCCCTGAGAGTAGCAATAGAGCCTCCCCCAACAAAGAACAATCATTGCAGATTAGCACCCAAACAGAGTCAACCAAGTATTTGCAAACAGTGTCAATGAACAAGCACAACTTCTGTCTATCAATGGGGCACGACACTCTTACAAGCATCACATTACTCGTGCGATAGCATTTTGCGTAATTCAAATAACAAACCTGATACATGAAGCAACGTAAGTTCGTGCCCAGAAGAAGAGTGCCGCACCCCAGTCGACGGCTGCCGAGATGCTCCCTTTTATCGGCCTCGTAAGGCGGATCCGGAAGCACTCCCCGCCATGCAGTCATGTGGCCTGTCCGCAGTTCAAGCACGGTATCAGGCGTGTCAGCTCACATCAGTGGATGGCAAGGAAGGGCGCACTGCACATGCGCCGTAGCCGCCATCCAGGGCTGTGGGGCACTCAGCCGCCGCTCCACCGATGAACGCCGCAGCAACAAGGATCCCGGGCAGCACCTGATACATGAAGAAACGTAAGTTCGTGCCCAGAAGAAGAGTGCCGCACCCCCATCAACAGCTTCATCAAACAGTTCTACAGATTTCCCGCGAAAAATCTGGTTTACGGTCACATCTGTGAAGCAAAACGGTTATTCACTGTGGTGGAATGATGATTGTTCCAGAAACTATACAGGCGTAGAAAGGCAGCCTGGAAAAAACTGTTATTCGATCACTGCCCTCAAAATTAGAAGGATTATGCTGGAGTTATGCTGAAGGATTATGTAATTTATGCTGGAGCTTTTAAAGGAACAGTTCCGCAAGCAAAAGAAAGTTACGACATTCGGACGTTCGAGTATCAATCTAAATGAAACAACAAGTGCGCACTCTATAGATTTCTCCGTAAAAATAAAATGATACCGCGAGCTATGAGCACATAGTTTAATATTTTGTCTCCGGAGGAAATAAAATATTCGTTAGATATTGTTATTAGGGGGTTAGAGCAGCGCTTTTCTTCACAATTATCCTCACCGCCAAAGCATGCCCCAAGTGACAACGACTTTATTGAAATTTCTTGTTCTGAAATAACAGCGGTAGTAGATAGCATTCCATCAGTGGCTCTGGGCCCTGGCGGAATCAAGTCGGTCATGTTAAAATTGCTAAATAAAGAATCTCGAGAGATTTTATTGGAGGTTATCTAATACTCAATAAGAATGGCGTGGCTCCCTCCGGGTTGGAAAATAGCTAAGGTGATACCACTGCTTAAAAATCCAGATAAAGGGTATGAACTTTACAGCATTAGGCCCATTACACTAACCTCTAATTTTGTGAAATTGATTGAACGAGTGTTAGACATCCGTATAATAAAGTTCGTGAACGAGAAAAGTATTCTAAATCAGTTTCAAATTGGCTTCAGATCAGGGTGCTCGACATGGCATGCACGTATAGATATTGAGAGCCGGATTCTGTTAGCTCGGCGAAAGAGAAAGTATGCCGCATTAGTAACATTCGACATCGCGAAAGCGTATGAGAGCGTTGAACGTTCAGTTTTAGTTAAGCAGTTGCACAACACGAAGCTCCCAAAGTACATTACTGCATGGATTGAGGAATTTTTCCATAATCGGACATTGTTTTGTTCTCAAAGCGGCATTTCTTCGTCTACGTACGCGCAAACACGAGGCGTTCCGCAAGGGGCAGTCCTTTCTCCTGCTTTATATAATATACTAATGAGTTCTATACCACGACATTAGGATGTACGCGCATATGTTTGTGCGGATGACATCGCATTTTTTTGCTGCACCGACAAGATTCACAGTCTATATCAGGTGCTACAGTTATACTTATCAGCCCTAGAAGGGTGGCTTGATGAGATGCACCTACATCTGAATGTGAAAATGCTCCGTACAGCCATTTCCTTTGAAAGACTATTCATATTTCTTTCTATTATCATCTAGAGTGTGTTCCGCAAGTTGAGCAAATCAAATCCCTTGGTGTGCTATACGATCAATCTATGTCTTGGAAGGAACGCAACGAGTACATATCAGTAAAACGTGTCCAAGTGGTCGATTTGTTACGCAAGGTTAGTCATAGTCGATTTGGCATGCGAAGGCAAACGCTTTTATCAATATACTGCATGTAAGTTCGACCAGTCCTGGAATTGGGATCCATATTATACGCCGGCGCTCCTGCTTATAAGCTTCGCCCGCTTGTAATGCTTGAGCGGCAAGCCTTGCGTCTGTGTTTAGGTCTTCCTAAACTTGTAACAGTTAAAGTCTTGTATATGGAAGCTAGACTCCCATCGCTTGAATCACGTTTTGAATTGTTGGCAGCAAAATCATTTTTAAAGCTCGATGAATCCCTAGCAAGGCGTTCCGAAGCAGTTTTTATCGCTCAGCTTGAGTTGTTCTTTGGAACATATTGGCCAAGATTCCATACGCCTCAAGTTCTCCATATACCGAGCTTTCTTGACAACCTTAATGTACAAATAAATGCCGCATCTCCGGTCAGTGATATCAACAGCTTCATCGAAATACAGTTTGACGAACTTTTTCCAAAAGAAGCAAAACTAGCGTCAGACCGTATTTTAACTTCTATTCTGAGTGATTATCTGGTTCATTCATCAATAAGGACAGTCATTGCGACAGACGCTTCGCAAAATGAAGAAAAATGTGGAATTGGGATGTTCGCCCCTATTCTAGATTGGTTATTTTCTCTACGCATTCCAGATTTTGCACCCATTTTTCTACCAAAGTTTTTCGCGGTGATTTTGGCTCTCAGCACATTAACTGCACGACCTAGTTCGGCAATAATTTTAACTGATTCGCTGTCGTTGTGTTCTTCTCTCACTGCAAATGGCAATTCCCATGTGCTGAGTACTTTTAAATAATTAGTTCCACTGTTTATACAGATGGTTAAATTGGTTTGGGTACCAGAAAATAAGTAAATTTTTTTCAATGAAATGGCGGATGCATTAGCTAAGTTATCATTAAATGGCCCGGTTATTCAAAAACTTCCAGCATCTAAATTCGTTTTAGGTGCTAGATTTAGGAGGAAAACAATGTTAGAAGAATTTTCTTGGCCATACATAATAAACACACTTGAATTTTAGCACCTAAATTATCGTTGGAACAGTCAAATATGTCATGCGTGCAGTTGAAGTCGCAATTACAAGGCTGAGTTGCCATACTCTATATCTCAATTTTTATTTACACAGAGCTGGTCTGAATGCTTCCCTTCATTGTTGGTTTTGTGGAGTCCCTGAGACATCAGAACGTTATCTGATATATTGTAAAAAAATACGCTGCATTGCGCCAAATTACATTAGGTGCCGTCTTCCGTCTCGTATCTGGACTTCCGTCTCGTATCTGGAAAGTACATCTGGACCAATCCACATGTACTTTCTTTGGAGGCTTTGTCCCTAGGGTTCGCTGACGGAAAAGTTACCAATGCCTTGCAGGAGTTTATTAAAGCTTCAAAAAGATTCCGACTGTAGAACCTATCATTACTCCTAAACTACTTTTTCTTAAAATTGCTTTATTCAATCATCTATTTATTGTTGTTGGTGGAACCATCTGCTTCGTTTTCTATATCCGTTATTTCTAATTGTCCATTTCTGATTTATTTTTTTACCTTTTTTCAATAGTTTAAAAAACTTGAGCTAACAATTTAACAGTATATTTCGTCCGAACTACCCGGTTCTTGGCCAATTTCCCAACGTGGGTGTGTGCCACAGTTTTCAGGCACTTCCTTCCGTCCTCATCTTGGTCCGCCTGCGTTGTTTTTCGAGCTACCTCGTAGTCGCTCAGCTCGTTCAATAAACCCCATTTACATTTATTTATATATTTATTTATTTATTTATTCATTCATTTATTACATACTGCTGACCTGTTTACCAGGTCTTAAGCAGGAATGGGCATACAGAAATGTTTACTACAATAAACATATTGGACATCACACAGCATACTGACAGCGGTTACAATGCAACACTTTTGTACTATTTACAAAAAACTAAAGAAACACATTACAACAATGGCATAGCTTTGCTGACTAAAACGTACTAAAAAATGGAAGCATTGCGTAACTCTGGGCTGCATGACTGTAAAAAAAACTGTTAGAGGTTATTGAGAGCATGTAGAAATAAATCAACTGTTGGCCACTGTACAGCATCGGGTGATAGGCAATTCCACTCACGTGTAGTTCTTGGAAAAAATGAAAACCTGAATGTGTCTGTGCGGTTTACGTAATCTAAAACTTTCTTTGAATGATGTCAGCGCACAGCATATTCACTTATTTGTCCTATGTGCACTGTTTTGTTGATACCAATTTTGTCGTGGAAAATGAGGTAAAAAAGCTTCAGCCTCTCCATTCTTCTTCTCTCCTGTAGTTTTTCAAGATCCGCTTTAATTAGTAGAAGTGAAGGGGAAGTACGCCAACTGTAACAATTAAAAACAAATCGGACAGATTTTCTTCAGACCATTTCTAATTTTTTAATATAGGACTCAGTAAAGGGATCCCACACTGTAGCTCCATATTTTAATACTGGTCTAATGAAAGTTTTGTACCCGAGAAGTTTGTTGTGTGGTGTGGCATTCACAAGCCTCCTTCGCAAATAGCGAAGCTTTTTCACTGCCTTTCTTTCAATATGTTGTATGTGTTCATTCCATTTTAAGTCTGACGCGAGTATGACTCCTAAATATTTGTGTTTAGTGACTTCGGATAACGCATGGCCATTGACGTGATAGGTTAACAGAAGCGGCTGTTTCTTACGCGTGATTCGCATTGCTACTGTTTCTTTATAATTATTTGTCGTCTGCCAATTTTCACACCACGTTTGTAGCATTGCTAGTGCAGTATTTAAATATTCTTGATCACTGTAACTATAAATTTCCTGATATAGTATACAATCGTCCGCGAAAAGCTTTATCTTTACGGGCAAGTTTAGCACAATATCATTATTAAATAACAGAAAAAACAACGGCCCCAAAATTGACCCTTGAGGCACACCCGATTTCACGGGGGCGGAACTCGAGGTGACGCCATCAATGGCAACACATTGGCTCCTCATTGAAAGATAAGCAGTTATCCATGCAAGTAGTTTCTCATTTTTCAGAATAGGTTTGAGCTTAATTAGTAACTTCTGGTGACTCCCACGACCGAAAGCTTTCTCAAAATCCAATAATATAACATCTACTTGACCATTCTTATCGATCGCTGCTGCTAGGTCATGAAACGTCTCAATAAGCTGGGTAACCGTGGAATACCCTTTGCGAAAGCCGTGCTGAAGGGGCGTGATTAGGTTATTTCTTTCGACAAACATAGACAAATGTTTGAATATTATATGCTCTAGAATTTTGAC